CCCTCCACGAAGGTAAAGTAACGCAACATGGGTGTGAAGAACTACCATTGCCTCTAAGTTGCCGGTTTAAAAAAAAAAAAAAAGACACAAAACAAAAGCGTAGAACTTTTTCCTCAGCTTTTATTTCTACCAGTGATGAAGTCCACTTGATGGAAGCTGTCGTACCAATAGATGGTTTTGTGGTGGTTTATGGGACAGTCAATAACTTGTCCCTAAATTTAAACTTTCAGATCTGTTTTAAATAAAGAAAAGAGCCATATGAATGTAATTTAGTGTTTTGTCTCAAAGATTCTTGTCTTGTGACCTTTCAATACTTCTGCTACTTCTGTAATTTTGTCCTGTACATTTTATAAATCAAATGGGCAACTTTTTGTCTAGTTCCCACCCTACCCCCATATCTGTAAAGCAGGTCCATGTTCTACAACATGACTACAAACTAAGAAGATGTATACATTAAAACTGCAGATAGATAAACAGCTTCCCTAAAAACAAATTTAAAAAAAAAAAGATTTAAAGGTACCCTATGAAGTATTTCGTAAACAGTTATTTTTACATCTAGTGTCTCACCAAAATGTGTGTCATTGATGCAGAATAACGGTTTTAATTTCCTTCATCAAAACGTCTCCAGAGCTGCTGCGTTTCTTGACATGCTTCAACAAGCAACTAACGACCAGTGGATTAATGTAAACTCTTCGGATTGAGCAGGACGATATCCTGTCACCTGCACAAGATACTCAAAGAATGGGGACGTAGACTTAAAAATGTTAAATGTTAAAAACTCCAAAGCAACTTCATAGGGTACCTTTTTTTTTTTTTTTTTTTAAAAACAGCACATTACCAATGTTGGCCAGTTATTATGGGTCTTGTGTTTCTTCTCTGTGTGGTAGTACTGTAACCAGCTCATAGCTGGCCACTTTGACACTTATCCTCAACGGATGAATCAGTATATGCTGAAAAACATCCCACACGTAATTTACAAGCTTAGTTCAGGGAGATGTGGGCATGGGGCACAGCATGCACACACACAGGATCACAAACAAATGCAAACAATGTGTATGATGCTTGATTCAGTTTGCATATTGTGAATTTAAACTCGTGATGCGCAATAATCTTAGGGAATTTGTAGTAAATTTTAAGTTTTTAAGTCGATCATTATGGAAATTATTTGCACTTTAATATTGCACTAAGAAACAAATGTTTTCTAACTACTCTTGGCTGCAATAAACTTTTTCAGTTCAAGGAAAAAAGGGAATTCTGGCAACACCTCTTTTTAGTAAATAATGTCCCTCTGTATGCTACCCTAAAGGCAGTAAAAACCATCCACCTTAACATGGGGAAAAAAGTTGAATTTCCTTGAGAAAAAATTAAAACGTGCTTTTTTTTATTTTTTTTTCCCAGCATTTCTGCAGCCACGCATAATAAACCACGAGACCTCGCGAAATAAACCGCCTCGTACTAAAAGGTTCAATGGCCATGGTACCTGCGTATTTTGTGGTCAAAGAACCTGAAATCGTTGACAAATCGATATTGTTGCGTACACGGCTCACTGGACGATTTCAAAAGATCGTTTTTGAAAGGACGCTTATCGGAATCACCTCCTGGATTGCTACGCTCGCCAGCCAAAACAACAACACTAGCCATTTGGCCAGTGGACAAAATAAAATAATTTCTCCCTCTGTCTACAATTCCCTACTGTAGGCCTGTCCTCACTGATTGTGGACAGAAGTTCCTATCACTCTTTGTAGTATTTCATAGACAGTATAAACTTACCTTCCGCTCACTAATTGATAACTTTTCTCCCAGGGCCCCGTATAGCAGTTATGGGGACGGCAAAGATCCTCGGCCTCGGTCACGTTCACCTGTTTACGGGCGTGACGGACGTGATGGACGCGAGCCTCGAGAAGGGCGTAATGGACGTGATGGACGTGAGCCTCGGGACAGCCGTGATGGGAGGGACCCAGGTAGAGAGCCAAGGCCGGGTGGCCACTCTCGTGACCTTGATTACCGAAGCTCAGAGAGCAGAGACAAGGACCTCAGAGGTGATTCGCGGGATCCTGCATACAGGTGACTAATGACAATCAACCCTTTAGTTCCTAGTCCAGAGTTCAGTGGTTACCTGTTTGTCTGAACCTGAAATGTTTCCATACAGCAGAAGTGACTATGACCGATACTACCGCAGTGGCAGTGGTGCTGAAGACTATTACCGGAGGAAGGATGAACCCTACAGGGACCCTTACAAAGATCCCTGGAACGGACGGCGTGAACCAGAGGGTATGTGTAATTGTTTTAATACCAAAACTCTATCCAGTTTCTTTTTTCTAACATTCCACAAGTTATTTTTTTTTAAAGCTTAGAGTATCATTTTACCTTCTAGTCTTAATGTGGGGACACAACATAAGGCCTTTTAGTAACCAAAGTAAACCAGAGTTGATAATGAAGATGAAAGTCCAAGAAATATGCGTTCTGATCGTCCATTTCATTGCAAAATGTATTGCACAACTTCCACCAGAAGCACCGCTGCAGAATACACATGCTGGTCTATTTTTGACAGAAGCCGCGACCCACTTGTATCAAGCAAGAAAGGGCAGATCGCAGTGGCAGGAAGTGATACAGATTAACATTGTGGCACCAGGCCAGAAGTCAGTCAGTCAGTCAGAGGCAGGTTAGGAGTTTTTAAACGGAGAAACACACTGTTTTGTATCCTTTTTTTTTTTAAGGACAAAATACACAAGTAAACAACATATGGCAGGCAACACGCTCTGAAGGCGCTCCGCCTCTGAAGTGTGCTCAGTGGGATTTGAAGACGAGCAGATCACAGCGCCAAACAACAATGCAGTCGCAATGTTTTTAAAGCTGTGCCCGGTGGAATTTAGCCAATGTTTACTTACCTGCTCCCTGAGCTGTAACATTATAGTTTATAACTTCACGTCATTGCTGTTGCCATGTCATCTATGTTTTGTTGTTCATATACAAAGTTAATCCAGACAGCAGTGGGGG